GCCGCATCCTGCCGGCCCGGTGGGAGCAGCAGGGGAAGGGCCGACCCCCCCCGGACAGGCCGCCGGAGGTACAAGCAAAGAGGCGGTTTCTTTCGTCCTAGCATCACCCCTTAAAAACCTCCTGAAAGCGCGGCTCTCGCACGTCCGCATTCCCGCTTTTATTTATGCACAGCTACTTTTTCCTCTTACAGAAATCTGGTTAATCCTACCACACCTCTGCGTCCTTCCTCAACGAACAGCACTGGATTGCTCTCTGGCATATGTGTACACAGAAGATCAGTGTAGTAGCACTGTGGCAGATTGCAGTGGTATTTCTATTTGCCTTTTTATTTTGTTTGCTAACAAGCTAAAGGAAGAGTCCTCACAGAGAGCCTTCTGAGAAAGACAACTCCTTCCTAAATCCTTTAAAGCTACTGTGGTAGATTCTCAGGTATATTTTTTCCGTGTACTTCAATTTATTGCTACAGCTGGAAAATCTTACTTACCTTTTTTCTATTGCTTGGTTACTCGCAGAAGTAGAATGCCTCTCCAAGCTTGAAAAAGGAGTCAGAACTATGAACCAAGAACTATGGGCAGTATAGAAGTGATGAAGAGAGTTACCACAGCAGAGATATCACACACAGGTTTTTCTCCCTGCTGTAGCTACATCTGCTTTCACTGCTCCTTTTACACTGCATTCACTTCCATAGTCCCAGTCATGAAACACGCTTCTTTCAAAAGCAATGGAGGGGCTGCTTCAGGTCATACTAAACAGTTACATACCACCTGCAAGCAATTAACTCTTTTTTATTTCCTCCTTTTAGCTTAAATAGTTCTCCTCTTAAATTACTGTAGAGGATTTCTTTCCAGCTTTCTCATTATAAAGGAAAATAAAACGTAAGGATATTTTTCTCTATTCACCATTTCTTATCTCACATGCATTCACTGAACTGTTGCTCTGAGCAGCGCCATTTGTCATAACTTAATGAGGAAGGATACAATAAAAAAGTGAAGTAGGGATAATGGAGTCTCCCAGTATTATTGTTGTTTTCTGGCATTATTCTCTTTCCTGTTCCAGTTGCTACCTTAAACAGGCTTTTGTTCAGCTTGAAGGACTGTTAGGCATTCCATTTTTGTGGGAGTGCAACAGCTCAAACCCTTAAAATGGGGGTTCTATGGTCTCTCCAGAGATTTCTGTCCCTTGCTTATGCCCACCCTAATGCTCATGCAGACACATATCAATTTCATTCGGTGAACTGACTTGTCTGAAAAAGTGAGTATACTTCATAAAAATGATCTTCACCATAATGAACTCCCTGAATTAGCTCATGCAGTCACACAAGCACGGTCACCACTGCAAGGGCGAAGAGCTAGGACTACAGCAGACCAGGTGTATATCAGCTTGAGATACTGCGGAAATGACTTCACAGGCCCCTTCGTTCATCCTGTGTAGTGCCTAGGAACACTAAAAAGCAGTAGACAGTTGCTTTGACTCTGCGCTCTGATATGAAGTCAATTATCAATAGTCCTAGGCTGCCAGGTACAGACTTCAAAGATCAAAAAGCAAACTGGAGATTTCAAACCAAAATACATATATATATATGTATATACAGAGAATGCTCCTTGTAATAATTTACAATTCACATGTAATTTCACAAGCACAAAAGTATGTTGAATAACCAAGACATGGCTCCCCACGTTAAAGTTTCACTTCCATTGAAGAAGAGTCTGGAGTCCATCCAGCGCATAAAAGTTGGGAGAAACACAGGCTGCAAGACTACAAAGTTTAAAATAAGCTTAAACAGAAGTTAAAAAGAAGCTGGCCGTTTTGAGAAGGAGAAAAGAAAAAGGAATAGGCAGGTCTTCAAACTGCCAGGATGTTGAATTCTAGAGGACAATGACCAAAAGATGAGGTACTGTTCTTTCACATTTCATAGCTCCACCATGTGTTAAGAGTTCAAAAGAACCAAAGACACTAAGAATTTTCTCAGCTAGCACCTAGAAGTGTTTTAGACTCTCTCCTGCCATAACACTGCTTTGCTAGAATTAAATCTTAACTACAAAACTGAAAACATAATGGAAATCTGGTTGTCTTCCTCTTCAAGCTTGTCTGGCATTAAAAATAAACCCAGAAAGAAAATAAAATTAAATAATCTTCCCTACCACCACCACCCCATCAAGAATGAGGGACACAGTCTTTCACTGCTCACTGGGTGGTTATAATTGATTTGATTTTTATCTGTTCTAAGTTGTCATGTAAGTTCTGAAAGTAGTTACTCAATTGCTTTGGAACTCTGAAGCTTCTCTGGTAGTTTTTTGTTAGTTTTCTTTAAATAAATACCAGGCTTCTCCATTTCACTATTCCAAATCCACAATTAATGGTCTAGTGCTACAGGAATAATGCCAATAGTAAATGATTGTGCAAACCTTGCAGACACTACCACCCACAACCCAGTTTCTCACATCAACCTTGAATTTATCCATCATCTAATTAAATAACTAAATCAGTGAGCACATATAGCCACAGTTAAAGTGTGGCTCTGACACTCTCATCCATACATTTTTTCACATTCCTTATATTTTTTGCTTTCATAGTGCACATAAATTCATGTACAAATAGCTCTTGACAGAACTCCAACTCAGCAGTGAATTAATTTACAAGACAGTAAAAATGGCTTATGTTGTTACTGTTAGCATATTATTTTCCGTATTCAAGGTTTAGCAAAATTAAGATCACACAAAAGTAGTCTCATTGCTTTCTACTGGTTTTTGAAGCGTGTTCAGGTTGCAAAAAATAGCTAGGTTCTTCCTTAACTGTCAAAAATATCAAAATTTTCAGTCCCAAAGCAGTGTTCCCAGAGAAATCGACGAATGAACATGTATTTTAAAAAGGAAGCATGAACAGAATATACTTGGAACATACTTACAAAGTTCTGATCTTCTGAAGTAAAAAAGTGTATAGAGAATAAAAATAGGTATCTATTTTTGAACTGCACGTCTTTAAAGTGTTCTCAGGCATCTCCTCAGGACTGGTGCTGTTTGTAGGACAATACTGGAGACACCGGCAGAACTGGTGATATTGGAGTTGTTGTCAACACCTGATTCTGGAACACAAACATTTTAATCCTACCAAACACCCAAAGAAAGATAAGGAGAATGCTGACATACTGGATCCAGGCAAATTTAATCATTTCCCAAAATCCTGGCTGATATTTAAAGAAAGTCAAGGAGTGTTAACAAAGAAGCTTCTGATACTACCACTGCAATAACTAAACAAAGGAATTCAGAGGTGGAAAGGCACAAAACTTGTTAGACGTCAGTTTGTGTGGCAAATGCAAAGCCTTTGAGCCATGGAAACCCCTAAAAGCCTTTCACCATAGTATGTAATAAAAGCTGCAGAGAGTGTCTGTCCCAGAAGACATTTAAACCAATTCCATGGAAAGTGCCTATTTAGTCTCTGAATCACTGGAAAGTAGTTACGAGGACTACTCAGGCAGGTAAACAAGCCTCGTAAGAAACATGCTCCATACACATTCTTTTAAATGTAGGCTTGTTCTTGTCTGAGAAAATGAGTGAAGAATGTCATGAATGAAGAATTATTTTGTGGAAGAAAAATTTCAGGGCTGTCTGTGCATGTAACAGATTTGCCACATCCACTGAGGGGGTTATTGTTTGGTGAGCTTACCATGCATACAGATTTCTAATGATTTGCTTTAGGCCACAGGACACACTATCATGTTTTGCTAGTGGCATCCATGACAGATTGGGACAGCAGGTGCTGCAGGAGCAAAGCAAGGCACTTACTAAGGACATTCACTGTGAATGGCTAAGAAGCTGCCTTGAAGGCCAGTTAAGTAAGGCTGAAAAGCAACAGAGGTTCCCAGTAGAGAAAGGCAAAAAGTGGTTATGCAAGCAGAACCATCTGGAGGAACAGGCAAATAGAACTATAGCATTTGCTTAGCTAACAAAGGAAAAGTTCAGCAGCAAGTCTACAAGAAAAGTTTTCATTTGGCCTATATGTGAAGGCCCAAATAACACAACCCAGTTATGTCACGGTTTACGCAGTCTTCAAAGGATATAAGATAACTTCCACTGGGTAACGAATAGTGGCATTAATGATAAATGGTGTATCTGTTGCTCTTCCAGTCATCCAAACAGGGTTGGGATCTGAAAAGACTGTTGTCACTAAAATGGGGAAAGGAAACATCCAGGTTAAGGGGCTTTTCACAGACAGAAGGGTCTTAACACAGAACTCAAATCCTCACAGAACAGCTGCCGATATGTTAACTACTGCTGTCCTGTAATTCACAGCTATACATTCAGGCTTACCGTTTCTTTCCCAATATGCTGCAATGATGTTTGTTAGATCATAGTCACTCGCAAAAGGACTTGTGCCATTGACCACAGACACCTATTACAACAAGGAGATACTTGCATTATTTGTGCGCTCTTCAAAAAAGTAATTCTACCAAGTTTCTTACACAAAGTAACCATGCCCTTGAAGGAATGCACATAAACATCAGCCTGAACATCTTGGCAGAATAACCTCTTCCACCTTTCAGCCTAACAAGAAAACACCAGTTCCAAAGTTCTAGGGTCTACTCTGTGCAGGAGTATGAGTAATCAGGGTGTCACCCATGGTACTGCGAGGATAAGGTGGGGGGGGAAGGAATGAATGAGGAAGGAAAAAAAGTTTCCTCACATTGTATCTGGTATCCAGTCCACAATAGTTAAGTAATTGCCTCTGGTTCAATTTCAGGTCTCCATTCGTGTAGAGCTGAGACCCCGGCACAGGAGAAAAAAACTGAAGAAAAGCCATGCTCTGCATCACGAGTGTTGACATTCTCTGAAATGGTGAACAGGAGAAAAGAGAATTTAGGGGAGGGGGGAAAACACCATGCACTTTTCTACCTCTTTGTAACTACAGATTTTCTGCATGGATTTGATTTTTTTTCTGACTCACAAGTTTCAGATCATAATATTAGTCTAAACAAGGGAACACCAAATAAGAAACACGGATTACTTTTTCTTAAGTGAACTACCTTAGTTGTCAGTTAGCTAGCTTTATAAACCAAAGTTCCACAAGAAATTCAGTGAAGTCCAACAGTCTGTGGCTAATGACAGAAAGATTTGACTTGCTGTAACGTGCGAAAAGCAGCAAGATGACTAAACACATTCATTGGAGACACATTTTAAAATACTCAGCCGTCAAAGCTAGCTAAGGACTCCTGCTCTGCAATAAGGACCAAACAAGGAAGTTCCTTAGCCCTTATCAACCACTCAATCAGAAGGAAAATTTTCACATTTACTGTAAAACAAAGGTGAATATCTGAACTCTCTGTGATACTAATCACTGACCTGATACTTCAGCACAAATTTAGGACTGGTAGGCCTTTACTTTGGGCCTCATAGGTTTAAGAATGTTTTCTAAACCACACAGCTATGCTTGCTAAGCTTGTCCATCAGCAATCAGCAAGCCTCTTGGATAAACTAAGCCTAATCTCCCTCGTAAAACAAATTCTTGTCTGTGTGGCTGCATCCAACACAGCTCTATACTGTTGCTCCTTTCAGATGCATCCATGGGTTCTCTGTGCACTAGTGTTTTACTCGCTGCTTTAGGTATTAATTGCACTGCCACTTCAGATACAATAGCAGCAGAATTTTTTCCCATCTCCCTATAACACCTTCTTCCCCCTCCCAGTTACAAGATACAAAAGACCCTGGCAGATGATTACCATTGCTTCAAGAGCTGTTAAGTAAGCAAAATGTATAAAGTTTTAGGCTGCTGCAACAGCCTGCCCCTCCTCAGAAAACTAACTTGTTATGTCAAGACGTAGCAGGATGTAAGAATGCACATCCTTCTGCCTACTGCAAGACTCAGTTAGGCCACTGATACCCACTGTTGCACATCTCTGTCCTCTATGCTGCACTACAGCCCAAGAGAATACACAGCTTCAAAAAAAGCCCCCCAGAACCAAACAAAACATATCAAAATACGCAACAGAGCTAGATAAGGAATGAGAAGAAATAAGAGGAGGAGAAAATTAAATATTTATTAGTAAAATAAATCTTTTAGCTAGGAATTTCAAACGTGGAAAGGTTCTTTCATCCTTTGCGTAACCACTACTGGAATATTACACCTGGTCTATATATCACAACAAATAAAACTAAAAATGCTCACGTAAAGCTGGTAGGAAAAGAGTAGAATCAGCTGAACACCAACTACATGCTCTGTAGGTTGCAGTGGAAGTTCCAATTTAAAATGCAACTGATCCATTTTGCCATCTTGATTTTTGTCCTCTTCTCTAGCCTAAAAGAATCAATGAGATTTTTTTAAAAGATGGGAACTTCTGTTAAAAACAAAAAAAGGTAAAACCACAGCAGATCTCCACAACTGCAGCATGCACATACTAAGGAAGCAAATAAACTGCCTAGTTAGGAAAGCAATAAAAAGCTGCTTGACTTTAGATATAGACACAGGACTAGAGACAAGCAAGAAGCCTGCCATTTTGTCTGTTATACAATGTCTCATATGCCCCCTTGGGAGAGAAAGCTCATCAGACTCTTCAAGGTCTCTTCTGCCCTATGCCGTTCCAACCATCTCCCCTGCATGCTGCAAATCCTGCCTTCGTGCTGGATCTTCTGTCACATCCTGTGTGAATGTGCGACTGATGGTCAGGCTTTTGCCTCTTGCCATTGCAGGCTGCCTCTTAATCGCCTCTGTATGCCAATTCCTGGTTGTGAGCCAAGGCTTGCGACATGTCTGTGCCACAAACGCCCAGCACTTCAGCTATTTGCAAGCATAACAGGACTCGTAGAAGAGGTAACACAGGAAAATAACTGACACTGTTGAATCCCAGAAGGAGCAACAGCTGCAGGACAGAGGCTATGTGCTTTAGAAAGCACATACCTGCTTTCCAAACTAGGGGGTACCTACCAGCCCCTGCAAACTTTAGATCATGATAAGTCATATGGCAGGAGGGGGAGGAGATAACTAATTTGAGGAAAATAAACTGATGTGTTCATGCAAGCCACCAGTGGCACTTAGGGACATGGTTTAATAGTGGACTTGGTAGTGTTAACAGTGGGACTCGATGATCTTAAGGGTCTTTTCCAACCTAAACGATTCTGTAGCAATGAGGAGTAAAACTGGACTGGTTAAAAATCACTTGTCCCAAGCGAATTTTGCTGTGAGGTGCGAGGCTAGGCGGGAAGCTGCTGCTACCTGAAGGCAGCGGCGGATGACAGGCCGCCTGCTCGCAGGCACCGCCAACCCCCGTCCCTGCTCCCTCTCTCCAGCCCTTCTTCCCACCACCGCCGCCGGGCCCGCCGCGGGCAGGCCTACCCACAGCAGCGGGGCTCGCAGCCGGTCCTCCTGCAGCCTGTTGAACGCTGGGAACGTGCTCCACGCCAAGAAGCTGCCCGGGCCGGGCCCGATGGTGGCCACGAAGAGCACCTCGTACCGGAACCGCACAGTGGGCTGCTCCAGGTACGAGCTCTGCTTCAGCCAGAAACCTGCGGGCAGAGACAGCGCCGGGCCTC